AGACCATATTAAAGAGAGTGAATTGGAAGGAATGCCCGAGAGCTCTCAGTTGTCCGCCATTTATCCTCGGCTAATGTATAAGTGGTGGAGACACAACTTGTGATCCCGGCTTGATCTTCATATCACACCCGCTGCCACCGGAGCCTTGTCTGCGCTCATCTCATCCAGCGCCCCCGTTTTGCGCCCAACCACATTGAAAATGACACCGTAAACAGGGCAAAATGGTCGAGTATTTCCTCCCTAATATTTCTTTGTGTATTCCAGATGCTAGAGGACGATGTGGGGTGTCACGTGACTGCTGTCTTCGGCTCCCAAGAGAAGATTTTGAAGGGTAAGAAAACAGAGGTCTTCTAAGTGCTTGTAACAAAGACTACTTGTCGACACTGGCGTGAAATTCATTCGTTTTGCGAGAATGAAACTCTATCATTCAAAATTTCTTTCCCATTTATGTGCCCTTTTATTTTCTTTGGACATTCAAAACAACTGTTTGCCTGAACGTGAACAGTGAATTTCGCCGAATAACTCTTCACAATGGCACAGAGCAGTTAACAGGACAATCAACAATGCATTACGATGGCTGACTGGCAACTCGCCGGGAAATTGCAGAACAAAAGCATTTTGGTTGTTAAGTGCGTTGCTATGGGTCTAACTCTGAACCTGGGTGGGTTGCGTTAAAAAAATGAAAATATGCTTGAACTAGTTTTTGCCCCAAATATTACTTTAGATTTATTACTCAAAAGATGGTTGGCCAAGTTTACCTCACACTTGACCTTTAATACTGTGGTGTCACAAGGAAAAACCCTTCGTGTTGAACTAAATGTTATGAGAACAAAATTTTCCATAGAGAAAAGCTTTTCATACTTAACCGTATCATAATAAAATGTCATGGTATGTTTTAGTAAAAAAATAAAATAAATATATAAATACTGTAGCAGTGTTAGAGGACAAAAAAAAACTTGATCATATGAAAGAACATGGCAGCTAGCTGCTTGGAGCAACTGTGAGCCGGTAGCAGCTGGCCGAAATGTGGCAGCGAATGTCGGTCCGAATCAGCACACGCTTCTCAGGGTTCCTTCGGCCAAGTCCCGGGGCCTCTCGTTTTTCCTGCCCCCTTTTCTCAAAAGCAGCCTCACTTATGGGCGTGACAACTTTGAGCACAGTTAATCGCCCCGAAAAAAAAAACCCACACACATACACAAAAGAATATTAGCATAGCCTGGAGGAAGAAGGCTGTGTTACATTGAACCGAGCAGATGACACCACGCTCATACCAGTTTTTTCATACTTAGCTCCTTCGTCACTGTAAATTTTAGCATTTGCGTCGTATTTATCTGATCATTGTGGTATGTCGTCTGTCCGTTTTCACGAGGCTTACATAGGCTAATCGGCCATGAAAATGAGGCAAAATGGATTCCACTGCAGTTGTGATTCATTTGAGTAAATTCTACATGTTTGAAAACTCGATAAGAAAACCTTTATTTGTCTCACAATGGAGAAATTCTCAATTTACAGCAGCAAAATTATGAAAGGGAGAAAGTCGAAGACAAAAAGTATATAAATAAATATAAATGTAAAATATAAATATAAGCATATTAAAAATGGGTGAGTGGGGGTCAGTCCAGGTTTTCAGGACCGTCTATTCAATAGCCTGACAGCAGTCGGCAGGAACGGGAAAATTACGTTTATTTTTATAGCCTCAAACATACACAAGGCAGATCGAAAGTTCTTTATGGAGGCACATAAAAAAAAGATGTGAAATAAAAACATGAAAATAAAGGAAAGAAATATTTTATGAAATAACTAGTATTACCCAAAAAAAAACTTGAAACGTTACACTAAAAATGTTTTACCCTTTTGATAAAACCTTTTGAGTAAAATCGCTTTTTATAAGAATAGCTCAAAACGTTATCAGAAGTCTTGTAAGGTTTTACAGTTAAGAATTAGAGGGGCAACTATTCATAGATTTATCGAGTGTCAAACATCTGATTTTGCTCTGGAAAACAATGATCAGCGTTTTTGCCCCTCAAAGCACTAACTGAATCACTATCAGTTTGTGGACGATTTGCTGTCGATTTGAAATAAGGGGATAGAAACGAAACGAAAACATGTTTTTATCTGATTCAACGACAAAATAATCGTCAGATTAAACAAATATTAAATTAATCGTTAGCTGCAGTCCGATTTAAAAACGCAACGCAATTTTTACGAGACAATACGTCTACGGCGCAATGTGTAGCGGGCGGCGGTTTCTGCAATCGGCAGCGTGTGGGCTCTGACAAGAACAAGTCAGAAACAAACACCTTTGCGCTGGCTAATAAAGGCTATTAGGTAATGGCTTCCTCTTCTTGTCGTCATCCATCATAATTACACTGCCGTTTCTTCACCTTGCATCCATTTGTGGTGTTAAGATCAAACAGTCGCGCAAACGGAGCGGAGCTAATCTGTAGCATGTGTCGCGTTAGCGGTAGTTGCTTCTGCCTGCGGCTGAAATGCAAAAACAGGCTTTGTCAAACTTTTGCAGCTCAAGATATAAACTTGGTACAGTCTGATTAACATCGTGTTTCTGTTGCCATGACAAAAAATGTTGAGTTATAATATTAGCATTCGTGTCAAGCTATGACATAATTCTGGTGGTATTATATTAATTCTACCGCTCTCAAAAAAAATAAATAAATAAAAATATTTGTTCCAATCACTTTGAGTTGGGCAAAGTCAGACTTTGTGCCTCCTGGTCACATGTTTGTCAGTCGATAAGCGTCCATTAAGAGCGGCTAGGCTGTCAAAGCAACCTGTGTCCCGCCTCTCCTCTCGCCCCTGTGGAGCCCAACTGGCCTATGATGTCCGTATCAATATGAATTCCAGCCTCTTTTACAATTCCCACCGTCCATTAGTGTCATGTATCAGTTTCCTCCCATGTGCTATCGATTCCCGTATGTGGGCTCATCTTAAAAAACACCTCGCAAGCGCTTCTGCAGTCCCTTTCAAGAGCAAGCGGCAGTCAATTGTGTCATAGTAGAAGTAGCGTTAAGCGCGTTACGACAATATTTGATCACGTATTGGTTTCACTGCAATGGCACACAAGCATCAGATTTCAATATTTAGGCTGTCCAAGTACGTACAACTTACTGTTATTTTGATTTGCGAGTGGTAGTTAGTCTTTTTATGAGGATGATTTTATGTTTCGCTTTGTGTCAAACCAACCCCCGCAAAATTAATCAGAAATGCCATTTTTTTGCGCTATCTACCCTCATTCTATTTCCACCGTGTCCACCGTTTTCCACTTCATTTTTTTGGGAACCGTCAGAGCTCTAAATCACAGCTCATGTTCAATCCGTATCACACCAGCTTTTATAAGTCAGACTTAAAAGTCAAAAATGAAAATTGTCAAACACCTCAGGTGCTAGAAAAAAAAAAAAGAAAGAAAATTCGACGCTGAATTCAAGCATGAAAAATACATTTTGGTACACACAGAGCCAATTGTCCTTCAAATTTGCTGTTAACCAGTGTTATTAAAAAAAAGTGAGAACAGTCACAAGGCGCTGCTGTTGGCCACAGCTCACGCCGAGACACTCACAGACTAATTGGCCCACCTGACTCCAGGTCCTACTGTCGCTCCGTAGACCACACCCCATAACGGCTCACATCCGGCACACAGCTGCTGCAGTACATACGAAGTTCTTTCTATTTTGCTTTGTTTTTATACAAATGTGCTGTTTTTCCTTTGTTCAATTTTGATAAGTATTAACACATTTATTCTTTTCAACGGGGAGAATCGACTTGATATTGTAAATGTAAGCCTAAGTTAAAAAGATGAAGTTGGAATATTCTCAGATAAATGTTAACGTTGCAAGAGTCAAGTGCCCAGAATGAAAGCGTTATATTATGCAGGGAAATGTAATTTTATGACAGCTGTCACACATTTGGCCACTTGGGAGGCCCTTTGGGGATGAGCACGGTTAACCTTTGGCCTCAGTCATGTCGCCGCCACACGCCCCTTGCATCTGATACACCCGGGTTGTAATCCCTCAGCCCTCATTCAATTTACCGAGAGCGTCTGTCGCTGCAGACCGCCATGTCCACCACAGCCACCAATCAATAAATCCCCCTGAAAGCCGGTGAAGAAATCCGTCGTCCCCTCAGATCCCGATCTAGTTTCGTCTCCTAATGAATGGGCTCTTGTTTAGGATGTAAAGTGTCGTGTCACTCATTCCCTTTGAATGAGCTGCCCTCGAAGCGCATGCAAATGAGCTCCTTCTCTTGCCTCTTCAAAATAACATGACACCTTTGTACAGTACAGTTGTCAGTGCAAGCACACTGTGAAAAGAAAAAAGAAGTAGAAATTGACATGAAAAATGTTGCACAAGAATCGAGATAATCATACTTATAAAAACATGACAAATATTCCACGAAAAAAAAGTTGTAACTATGCTTTGAAATACAGTCAAGTCGTTCTGTTGTGAAATGACCCGAATGGAAAAGTCGATTCCAGGGTCATTGTCGTAATTTTAGAAAAAAAAATAAGACGTAAAATTACAAGAATTAAGTGGTAACCAATTGAAACGTAAATGACTCAACGAATGTTGTAATTTTAGGGAGAAAAAAATAAGCCGTAAAACAAGAAGGAAGTCATCATGTTTCGAAATGACTAGCATTGAGACGTAAATTACAGGAAAATTTGGAACATTGTAAAACATACATTACTCAGTAAATGTCATTTTACAAAAAAAAAAAAACAAGGCGTAAAATTACAAGAATGATCTCATAATGTTTTGAAATAACCTGAGCGAAAACGTACTTTACAAAGAAGATGTCGTAATATGACAAGAATAAATTTGGAACGTTTTGAAATCACGTTCATTGAAATGAAAATTGCTGGGTCAATGTTGTCATTTTAGAAGAAATTAAGATGGAAAAATTCTGTTCTGTTATGACCATCAAGATGGAAAGAATAAAATATGTGAAATTGCAACGTTTAGAGGGAAAAAAAGATTTAAAAAAAAAACCTGAAATTATGAACGTAACATTGGAACATGAGAAGGAAGTCACGCAGATACTTTCCAACATCTCAATGACATAAAGTCTTGTCAGCCATGAGCAATGAGGGCTGCGTTGTCACTTACTTGTAATGCTGAATTGAAACCATGTGACGCTCAAACAGAAACTAAAACGCGAACAGCACTGCTTGGCCGGAAGGGTGGGTGGGTTGAATATCAACCCTGAATGAGAACCACACAAGCTTTGTAGCCTGATAGAAGCATAGATGTGCATCTGGCGTCCTGAATTTGGGGTCCCTTTTTGATCATTTTTAATGGATTTGTCTTCAGCTCTGACAGATGAAGCTGGGTGGGGGGGATGACCGGGGGGCGGACCTGAGACACAAATTGTGTCAAAGTGTCCGACAGCACAAGCGTCAGGAAGTCTGGCGAGCAGCTCAAACCCCCTCCTACGTCAACCTCCGGTTGTCTTCAAGCGCAATCACCTTTCGCGATGCAACGCACTAACAAACAATATGATGCAATCACGTTCGTCTTTCACATTGGCCGATTTGTTCAGATATGTAAAATTAGACAAGTCCAAACATCCAGGGTGAAACCTTTTATTTCGAACTATAAAAGGCCATTTTAAAACAACATTGGAATGTAAAAATTGCAATCACAGCAGTGCCTTGAAATACGATTCGTTCCATGACCAGGCTTGTAACTTAAAAAAAAAAACTTGTACCTCAAATGATCTTTCCCTGATTGAAATTAATTCAAATGCCCATAGCCTCAGCCCCAAATAAACCCAGAATTTTGTTTCTTTGATTTATTTTTTTTTAAAGGAAACATAGCACTCTCCACTATTATTTTCCCTGTATGAGTCCAGCACTTTGAAACATCAAAAAAGGCAGGCACCTTGAAACTTTTTTTCTGCCGCTACACTACATGCCCACAAAATTTCAAAGTCAGTCTGCCTCTTGACTGTGTGGCGCTGCGATCTTAATTAAGACTTTGGTGTTCTACGGAACATCCTCCACCTGCATGCATTGACAAAAACTCAATTGTTTTGCAATTTTGCGTAGTCCAGGTGGAAATTGGCTCACTGGGGCGTGGTTTTACTCATCTATCCGCATCAAAAAGTCCAAAACATTTGGAGAAGTAGACGGTGTTGGGATAGAAGACCGGGAAGGCTGTTGGAAGCAGACATGTGCCAAGTAGATGGTCGTTCTCTTTGTAAACGCTGTGCACGGGCGCGCTGCCCGGCCCGTCGTTGTCCGCCAACAGCTGCCTCTTGAGCTTGTTGCGTCGGTTCTGGAACCAGATCTTCACCTGGGTCTCTGTGAGCTGCAACGCACTGGCCAGGCCCGCTCGCTCGGAGCTGCTTAGATAACGCTTCATGTCGAACGTTGCCTCCAGCTGGAAGATCTGCCTCTTGGAGAAGATGGTGCGGGTCTTCTTCTTGCCGCAGTTGGGGCCGGTGCTGGCGCTGGCTGCGGCGGGCCGTGGTGTTGACGTGTTACTGAGGGCTGCGGATCAATGGGTCAACGTCCACAATATTAGAAATCCTGTGACGTTGCTTCTTTCCTTTTTCCATTGGAAATCCAAAGTTTAAAAAAAAAAATGGAAGAGAAACTTTTTTTTGTTTTTTGTTTTTAATCAAGCACACACAAGGAAAAAAAAAACACGTCGTTCTTGTGTCTTTACGAATGCTCGTTATCAAATTAGCAAATCAAACTCAGTCCTGGTCCCCATTTTTTATTTTCCTATTTTTGATTAGAGCCTAAAATTGAATTCTGACAAAAGATTTTAAAAAAATTGTGTCAAACTAAGAAAAATATAAAATATATACATATTCAGTCAGGTTCATTTTTTGATTTTCAAATTGAAAATGGAAAGGAAAAATGGCACAATGGCATTCATGTGTTCTGTATTGCAAGAAAAACGCTCCATTAGGATTTGCCATCCTTTATGTTTTATTTAAAATACATATTTTATCTGCATCGAGTTCCAAATAGGCATCCACTGTCATTCGAATATAATTTTTTTTTCCGGCAAACCCAGTCAAACAAGTAAAATGTGGTTATTATAGTCCTTTTCTGCATAATGTACGTTTCACTTTTTCTCATCTCAGATGTGTTTCTTCATAATAAATATTTATAAGATTTCTTTAATTTTGTCATATGACTAACTCCCCCAGCCCCCTAAAAAAAAGATACCTTTTTAGATTTAGATTAGTTTTTTTCTACATTTAATATGTGGTCTGTGTATGATTTATGTCGTATTCTTTGTGTACAGTCCATATGCACCTACCATATTTAACGAATATCCATGGAATATTCATGTTGTTTTTTTTTACTGCAGAAACAAACGAAGCATTTTGATAGTTTTTCCTGCAACACATTTGAAAAACAGGGATTTCACGTTTCAGTTATTTTTTTCCAGTCATAATGCATTTTTTAAAATGCGCATCTTATAGTGGCCATCAAAATCATCTTTCCTCTTGTCTAGATGATAGTTTATGTCTTTGTATTCAACCGTCTTGTATTTTGTATATTTACTGTTTAGGTTGCTTTTTTTTTTTTTTAAAGTAGAATTTCAAATCAATACAAACTGAAACACTGTTGAAAGTCATGGAAGAAACCAAAAAGACTGGAGGCTCTTGACTGCCCCATATGCAGAAATGGGCTAAGGGAACCCGTTCTCAGTAAATTATTATTTTTAATTGAAGCGCCTCCTTAGGATGAATCAATCAACAAATAATGACAACATTCTTTAAAACTACTTTTTTAGTTTTAGTAGTAGCAGGAGTGTGAACGGAGGATGACCCTACTGAAATAGCTTTATTTCTTCTTACTAAATTATTAACGCTATTGTAGTAGCAATAATAATAATAATAATAATAATAATAATACTAACAAGAACAGCAGTTATGGTACCATGAGCTTTGTTTGTCATGTTATAAATAGTTGTATTATTCCTAGTGCTTGAATGAAGAACAACCCGATTAAAATGTCTTTGTTCATTTTACAAAATAGCCTTTATGGAGTCTTTCATTTTTATTATTATAATTGTTGTTGTTATTATTATTAATATTATCAGTGGTGTAGTAGAAGTAGTAATAGATGTCAAAATATGGGCCTGGGGAAAGAGGACAGAAATTGAAATAATGTTTTAGTATGACGAGATTTCCTTTATGAGGGCTGTGTTATTAGTATTATAGTAGTAGTATTATTAGTAGTTGGGCCTGGGAAAAGTAATAATTATTACAGGAAATGTAGTCCTATTAGTCAAATTGCTAGTATTATTTGTATTATTAGTTTTAGTCGTGTTAGTGCTTGAACGGAGAACGAACTTATTAAAATGGCTTTGTTCATTTTGCAAATTGGCCTTTATGGTAGGTAGCATTATTATTAATAATATTTGTTTGCAGTGCCCGTAGTCGTCAGACTGGAAAAATATGGCAATGTTTTGTTTTGTTTTTTAAATTAGTGTTATTGCTGTGCTGTGCTTCAAGGCTGTCTGAAATTACTCTCATTTCACTTCATGCTTCTGTCAATCCAAAGTGAGTGTCCAATAAGTTTTGTCATCAAGCTTGCTCACCTGTTTCTTGGGATCCACCCTCGCACCGTCTCGGAGTGTCCCACACCTGGTCAAACACATCCCTTTCATGCCTGTTCTGCCGGGAGTCTTCCTTCCCCACCCTCAAGTTGAGAATGTGGTCGATGGTGAAGTTAAGAGAAGCGCTCCGACCGGCACCGTTCCCCTTGCTCATATTCTTCACCGTGTCCCGACGTCACTCTGTTTCGGACGGGGGGCGCGCGTTGCCGTCAGCCGCATGGCTAGTGAGCGCGCTCGGAAGTGGCCTGCCGTTTCTCGCGCGACCCCCCCAAAAGGCTGCCGCGTTCTCATAGGTCAGCTTGTGGGCAGGGCTTCAGGACGGCTGCCATGTTTAAACATTTTACAGTACGGTGGATCCGAGGGGGTTGGGGGGGGGTGTACCACCATTTGAAAATCCACACCCACACACACATACGCTGATTTAAAAATAAAACATCTGTTTACTCGCCACGTTTAGAGATCCTGCAGAAGTGTTTTCGAACCTTTCTAGAGCCAAGGCACAGATTTTACGCTGGAAAACTGTCACCGATTGTTGACAGTAAATGTAAAATTCATGATAATCTTGTCAGAATGTCCTAACCTCATGTGAAATTTGGGCCTGTTTTTTCATTTTTTAAATTAATGTTCCCCCACAATTTAGAGTTGTCTGCCATGTGCCACAGCATGCATGGCAACACTGAGCTTTACAGAAAGTGTGAGCCACCATTGTTGCATTTTTTTTTTTTTGGGTGCCGTCAGCACACAGTCTCGCGATAGCTGGGGCAGCCACGTTATGCGTATGTACTGTACAGAAACGGAAATGTGAGGGCCGCATTATTTGATGGAGCCACTCCGTGACCCGGCTTCAAAATGGATCATTTTCAAGATCCCAAAACGCTGGCTTCGTGTGAAAGAAATGATCAAATGCTTTTGTGGATACACGGAAACACATTTACCTGTTGACAGCGCCTGGTGGGGGGCAACAAACAGTTTGAAGCAAGCACGCTTGGGGTCTTGCTCCATTTAGAATACTGTGCAAGCGAGTGTGAACAGGCACTAAAGAGAATATGTCGAAAGGTTTGTTTCAGTAACTGTATATTTACATTTTGAGATGTCTTCAAAGCATGTACGAGTGGCAAAAAAAAACGTATTGTATATTCTGAAACCAACTCTATTCATTCCATTGTACAGGCGTACCTAATGAAGTGACCATGGGCGTGCGCTTTTCATCAGGACCACTTGAGGTCAGTGTGCATGCATTTTACGCAGTTCCACACAGCCGTCCATCAAATAAAAGATAGACAGGCAAACGAGGTTTCTCCTCCTCCTCATTATGCATATGAATGTTCCTGCATTATAACAGCACGTTTTAAAAGGTGTTGCGCATTTTAACAGTCATTCGAGCAGAGCAAAATAAGAGCGAGAAACGAAATGAAGCTGTCTTATCCGTCATGTTCTGGTGGTTTAAGGTAATGAACATTACATTCCGACTAAAATCTAACTCGATGGTTGTGATGATGTAACATGGCAAACAAGTGGAAAGACGAAACAAATTGCAGTGGGCTTGCAACACAGAATAAATCATGTTTGAATTTCAAGGTTCCACTTTGATCTCATCTCAAGATTAAGGTTTAACATTGGACGCATCAGACCATAATTTACCATTCTTCACAATCTTTCAATTTTGGAAAGCCTGAAAATGTGTGCTTATAGTTTGACCTTTTATTCTGCGATTGCCTGATGCCTTGCACAATAAAATTCACAAACGATGAACTAGTATTTTGTGAAATGGTGACAATTTCTGATTCATCAGACGTCAGACCGCAAGGCCGCCAACACAAAGCCAGCATGATTGTGCGGGACTCAATACAGATGTCGCATTCAGGGACATTCTGCCTTTCTCACTGATGAATCAAGTCTGTACGAGGAAAGCCTGCAGCCTGAATAAACCAGAGCTCACGAGGCGGCAGTGTGTGTGTTCCATTTACAATGGGCATAATAAAAGCTTGAGAGAGGTATGTAAATGGAAAGAGGCGGCAGGAGACGTCTGCATTGTTCAGCGACTGATAGCTTATTCCCAAACGGTTTATTTATCCATTCATTCATTCATTCATTCATTTTCCGATCCGCTTGTCCTCACAAGGGTCGGGGGGGGTGCTGGAGCCTATCCCAGCTGTCTTCGGGCAATAGACGGGGGACACCCTGAACAGATTGCCAGCCAATCGCAGGGCACGCATAGACGAACAACCATCAGCGCTCACGCTCACACCTTAGGACAATTCAGAGTGTTCAATCAGCCTGCCAAGCAGGTTTTTTGGAATGTGGGAGGAAACCGGAGTACCCGGAGAAAACCCACGCAGGCACGGGGAGAACATGCAAACTCCACGGAGGCAGGCCTGAGCCGGCATCGAACCCACGACCCCTGCACTGTGAGGTGGGCAGGGACACCCTGAACCGGTTGCCAGCCAATCACAGGGCACACAGAGACAACCGTCCATGCTCACACTCACACCTAGGGACAATTTAGAGTGTTCAATCAGCCTGCCGTTTATGTTTTTGGAATGTGGGAGGAAACCGGAGTACCCGGAGAAAAGCCACGCGGGCCCGGGGAGAACATGCAAACTACACACAGGGAGGCCGGAGCTGGACTTGAACCCGGTACCTCTGCACTGTGAGTTCGATGCGCTAACCACTGGACCACCGGGCCACCCTGTTTGTTTGTTTGTTTGTTTTTTTATTTATTTTTAGACGTTGCAAAATATCATATCACCTTAAGTTTGACTCAATATAATTTTTTGTAAAATAGCAGGTTTTTGTTTTGTTTTTTTAAACAACTTTATTCTTGTGGAAATACATTACTTGTGAATATATCTTGATGCTCTCTTGGGGGCTCGGGTCAGTAGGTATGACTGAATAAGGTGTTGACATCAAGTCAAACTCAGTGGTGATGTAATGACATCATCATTAGTAACGGTAATTTGTGGGGCATGTTGATTTCATTAGCATTTTCAGTAGCACACATGGATGCTACAGGACTGCCCGTGCAAACGGATGGCCTTCCGCTCATCTTCCCCAGCAAGAGCCAATAACTGGCAGGAGATCGAAGCCGCTTGGGTGTGGAGCCAAGCTTTAACGGAAAATGGACCCGCTTCCGAGATGGCACGAGGAATTCGGTCTGCTTTGGAGTGAGGTAAACTTTGGATTGAAACGTGTGGACACCCAGCTCTTGTCGGAGCTCCCACACTTTGATATCCCCTGGTTCAAAGTGAATCTTAACAGCACAGAATGAAATTACAATAAATTGTATGCTGCAAGAAAATGTAATCTAATTAAATGTATGCCAAGTGGGAAATACGGAATGCCCAAAATTGATGGATTGATTAATCACATCTGGAGGAACTGAAGCAACATGGGACGCACTACCTAGCTGTGACCAGCAGAAGCGCTGTTGATTCAATAAATTTGATGTGTAAAAAACAAACCAAAAAAAAGGACAACACAGCATCGGCTATATGGGAAGGAGGGTTGCATTCACGTGGACCTCTGCTATGGCAGCTTCATTGCAGTCAGGGCAACACTGTCATAGAAAAAGGTGTTCAGAACATTCTGAGAGATTATTTTTCTCAGTCCTATTCCATGTTGTCAATCAATGAACTTCCCAAGTGGGACGCCAAGGATGGTAGTCCCTGCAGTCTTATAAGTACCTGAAAGAAACCACAAGGGAACCAGAACTTGGAAAAACATGAGCAATCTTCGGTGATGTTTTTCATGTTCTCCAAAAGGGCCGTCCAAAGTTGTGTTTAAGCAGGTTTAGATTGATGTTTTGCTGAGCAGAATTTGACTACCGGTAAGCGTTCTGCGATCACATAAGAGTCCTTGAATCCGCCGCACAGTCACTTCCTAAAAATCTGGAACCGTGACTTGAAAATGCAGCCTTCTGAGTTTTCAGGCCGCCAGCCTAAGAGGAGTTTTTTTTTTTTCCACGAGTATGTTGTAATCTGGAAGGCCCGCCTGAAGTTGCAATTGACGATGGTGTAGATGGGCGGGTTGAGGAACTTAATGAGTGGTCTGGGAATATTGCGACTTGAACAGGAAATTTGATTTTGGTCAGTTGCCATCCTAAAAGGACTTTTTCCATGACTTGCATAGGATCTTTTGGAAGGCCCGCCTGAAATCGCGGTTAAAGATGGTGTATATAGCCGGGTTGAGTGAGCTGTTGCAGTAGCCGATCCAGAAAAAGAACTTAAAGAGGGGATCTGGAATCTTGCAGGAGTCCCTGCACACGCCGTACAGACTGTAGCTGAAGAAGAACGGGAACCAGCACACGACGAACACCCCCATGACCACGGCAAGAACAAAAGTGAACCTCTTCTCCCGAGCTTGGGACAGCTTTTTCAGGGCGATGGAGCTCCTCCGTTTCCTCCTGGAGGCAAAAAGATCTGCGGGTTTGTTGCCAACTCTGGAGTTGCACGCGGCCTGTTTGGTCAAGGAGCCCCTCTTCGGGCACCCCCGAGGAGAGTCTGGCTGCTTCTTGCCGCCTTTCCCCTCTGATGAGGAGCTTTCATCCAGGTCGGCTTCCTCCGTGTATTGTCCCTGGGTGGCCGTCCGATGACTCGGGGTGGGCGGACACTGGCAGTGCCCGTTCTCTGTTTGGATGGCACCGCCGTCTGCCTGTCTCTTCTCCGACATGCTCCTGGTTCTGGTTTTGGCCACCTGGTAAATCCTGACGTAGACCAGGATCATGATGAGACAAGGGGCAAAGAAGGAAGCAATGCTGGAGAAAATGATGTACCAACTGTCATCATTGAGCTCACACTGGGGGTGAGCGCTTCTGTCCTTGTTTCTCTCCACGGATAACAACGGTGGGGAGGAAATAAAGGCAGACATGAGCCACACAATCAAGATGATGCCCTTCACCCGCTTGGGAGTCCGCTTTAAATTATATTCAACTGCTTGCGTGACGGACCAATAGCGATCCAGGCTGATTGCACACAGATGCACAATGGAGGACGTGCAGAAAAGAACATCCAACGCCAAATAGATGCCGCACCAAACTTTGCCAAAATACCAGTAGCCCATGAGTTCATTGGCGAGACTGAATGGCATCACCAGAGTGGCCACCAGGATGTCGGCCGTTGCCAGCGAGACTAGAAAGAGGTTCTGGGGGGCTTTCAGTGCCCGGCTTGTCAGCACGGCGATCACCACCAGCACATTGCCGACCACGGTGAACAAGATGAGGAAACTTACGAGGGCGGCGATGCTGGCGATGGCCGCTGATGAGTAGCCATAGGATGAGTTTAGGTGGATGACCGTGTCCAGTCCGGTACCGTTGAGCCAATCCATCCTGGCGTCATAATAACAACAATAAGAGTTATAAATCCCGGTACAATCCGTGCGCACTGAAATGCAACCCATGCAGTGTGTTGTGTGCGCGGCGCGGGCGCTCCCTCCTCCGCTTTTTCTCGCATCCCAGTGATGCTTCATGTCGACCGCCCCCGCCCCTCCTCTCCTTGACTCTCCTCTTGTCGACTGGCAATCTTGAACACAATTGATTATTGATTTTTACTCATCTAAATGGCTTATGCCAAGAGCTCATTGTGTGCCGAAGACAAACACAATCAAAACTCACGGCATGGATCACCTGTTTCTTTGAGCAGCGGTTCAGACTTTGGGCCGGGGTCTTTTTATTTTTATTCTTTTTTTTTTTGTCTTTTTTTTCCTCTGGTTGCTCTTTTTTATTTAGTCAAAACTTTTTTTCCCCATCTTAAAACTCAGTTCTTTTTATACATTGTGTAACAATTATATTCTTTTAGTATTTTTGTAATTATTTTTCACATGAAAATATGACTTAATACTCATGAAAATGGAGCCTAATATTACAGCTTTACTCCTTTTTAATTTTTTTATTTTTTGATAACATGGATGTAACCCCCCCCCCCCCCCCCCCCAAAAAAACTGAACTTCAACACCAAAACGCGAATGCTATTGCTTTCAAGAACTGTGACGAGCTGGTCCAAATTACTCCCTGATGCTCGTTGCTGTCTTCATCGTTTACCGTAGTCCATTTTGCCGTCTGGTGATGGTTTTCTGGACCCCGTTGGGATCATCACATTCATTCTGTCGCCCTCTTCGATCCATTATCACAATGGTGAGGAAACCTGCGGTCATCCCTTTCTGCATTTGATAAGCAGCTTGGAAAACAGCCATTAAACTTTGCAATCATTCTCTTTCTGTGTGAGAGCGGGCGAAGCGCCATCAATGGATTTTCTTAATTTTCCTCTGGAACAAGAAAAGCGGTACAAATGGAACATATTGTCACTCAATGAGCCTTTTCTTGTTGTTCTTGAGCTGCTTTTTTCACTTTTGCCCGAAATCTTCACGCCTGTTAACTGGCAACATATCGAGAATGGCCGCCTGTTTAGTGCAATTATGTAACCGCCGCCCAGACAACCACAACACATTTCACCTGCTCGCCAGCATGGAGCCGGCAATATAACAGAATGTATTGTGCTGATTGCTTATAGGCTCTGATATTGTGTGAATGCTGAGAGACAAATGTTAACAGCTCATTTTGTGTGCAATTCCAAGATGCGAAATTATGCAGTGTGTGAATGCTGAGAAATGAGCAGTCGCACCACTGCTGTTCTGCAACAAGCTGTTTATTCTCACAACATTCAAATTGTTTTTCTTGTGATATTACAGATTTCATTCTCACTTTATGACCGACACAAGCCTAGTCACCAGTGGGTGGATGGACTCGATTGGGTTTGGAAAACGCGACTGAAAGCCTGTAGGCTTTGAGAAATGACAACTTAGCGTTTCTGACATGCAAACCAACCGCTGATGTGTCGTAAATGGAGACAAAATTGTATTGTGAATGACATCATCGGTACAAAAACACATCCAAACGAACCAATTTTCAGTTTTTCTTCAATTATTTTAATGTTTTGCGAACAGAAATTTGTATCCAGGTAATGTATGGCAAAGGAAAAAAGAATAAAGGTAGTGGTGTCATTGAAAATTATCAAAGTAATCATTGTTTTACAATCCCTGCAGCCATGTACGCATACATAAATTGTACATGTTTGGGGGTATTCCATTTAGCAATCCACATCAAGCTCAAGAATATAATTTATTTACAGACATAAAAAAAAAAAAAACAATAAGGTAATTGTTTTTAGTAAAAATTATTAGGGTGGACACACAGCAGTAGTACAAATACAACTACACATACAGAAATCAACAGTACTTGTAAATGGAGGCATTTTGCTGCCATAGGCTGGTCCTTGAGGTCAATGCGGCGTTCCCTTCCTTCTCCTCTCCAGAGAGTGCAGGCCCTCCTGGCGACCTAGAGCATGCTGGGTACTCACCTTGTGAGCTGTCTCTGTAGCAGTGATGTCAATCTGGGCGTATTTAGTTGATCCCTTCCCTGTCCAAACACAACAAAGAGCCTCACTGAGTCCAGTCGCACATGCTAACGGGGCTACAGCTAAACATTTCTGGCAACAGAAGTGCTCACTCATGTGTGAACCAGTGCATGGTCTCAAAGGGGGGTCAAATGTCATTTATTTTGGACACACCCTTACTCTGTGCAGTCGCAGGTACCACAGTCCCCCGGGTGCCTGGTTCCTGCAGTTCCAACTCCATGTAGTTGAGCTGCTTCTTAGATGTGGGACTCACTGGAATATTGACGTACGTCACGCTGTCGCCTCGAGACCTTTCGGCGAGCAAAGCCTCTGGGTGGTACGCCAACGCTGTGCCTGGAAGAGAAACAGCAAGGCGATTATTTTTCTGAGTTTAGAAGTCATTCAAGTGACATCAACAAGGCAAAATGTGTATAGTGACAAATTCTTTGCCGGGGGCCTAAAAACTACAGCCCTCCTTTCCATTTTTTAATTCTAATGTTTTGCTACTTATTCTAAAATTAATGATTGACATGGCCCATGTCTTCTAATAATGCAATTTACTTTGGAGTCCCCTCACTGCTCTCTCCCTACACTCCTGTAGAGACTGTTTTAGTGTTTAGCCCATCTTATCTTTCCATTGTTCTTTATATCTTGGAAAAAAAACAAACAAACATTGAGACACCTCTGTTCCATGATATTCCTGAATCTTTTACGGGAATTTTTGGCGACACAAACTATTTTCGCCTCGACCCTACTTCTGGCTCACAAAAACAAAAGATGTGTGGTTTTGTCGAGGTGTTCTAACCATGTTACATATGAATTCAAAGGTAGCCATTATCGGCAGCTCTGGAGCAAAAAGCCCAGAGGGGACACTCTACGAAAGGCCATTAGACACCGGCGCAGCCTGTTGGCGATGTCTAAAAGAAGCATTGAAACCTAATTGATCCTTGCACAAGCGCAGTGTTCTGTAATGGTTGCCATTACAGCGAGTGACTTGTACCCACATCGAGCATACATCGGCGGAGCGTGGCGAAATGTCACTTCTATTTGAGGGGAAAGCTGATCTAATGAGAGGCGCTCGTCAGTACTGTTATCGTCTATATTTAAGAATACATCGGAACCACTATTCTGCAACAAATTTACAAATATAAGTAGAGATGATCCGTCTCAAAAAAAAATCAAAAGTTGTGTTTTCGGACCACACTGAGCTCTCAGACCCAACACTTTGCCCTACACAAGTAACAATGGACAGTCGGTATTATTAACATATGCTGTGTTGATACTGCGATGTAGTCATCCTTACCTTCCGTCTCTTGGAGCAACTTTTGTGGACCGCAGCTGAGCATCACTTGGCACTTACTTTTTTCTTCCGCCTGCAAGACGAATACAATGAAAAATTCCTCTGAAGTAACGACAAACTTGTGTGGTAATTTGCGAGATTTGCACACAAAAAAAAAAAATATTCAAAATTGCAGCTGCTCACATAGCGCCAAGTCACAGCAAGGCAGTTTTTTTAGAAGTCAGAAGGAGAATATCCATAATAATACAGCATGACACACATTAGCTGTTTATTGCTTTTATAATAATAAGAATCATAATAATAATAGCTTGAAACTCAGTTAGTTCCACAGTTGGGTTACGTCAGCAGTCGATCGCAGAAAAGCGGATTAGGGAATTTTGTAGCAGCCTACCTCTGAGGTTCTCTCTGCTCTGCTCTCCATGATCTCATAAGCAGGATCAGCTCTGTGCTTCTCCCCTCTGCCACTGGGCCTTTTGTCTGGCGAGGGGTGAGGAGAAAAAAAAATGACGGTAACCTTAATTTTTCTGCAGCAATGCGTGATGCATGATTCCTGAAATTAATAACACAAAATAGCAAGACTCTCGTAGCCTCGCACACACTCGTAGGTTTTCGTCATGAGCATGAAGGAACACACTCAAGCTGCATGCAAGATATATATTTCTTTTAATACTGATTAGTGTTGTAAATTGTAAAAGCAATAAAGCAAATTGCATTACTAAAAGAAAAGGTAAAATGTGATAATTCAAAATATGCATGTATCTGGGGAATATGCTTTGTTTCCAATAGGCAGAAAACTACAGATCAGTGAAGCCCTTTCATCATTATTCAAGTGTGTGGGCACTTAGTTTACGAAAGCGAAGTACCTGCATCAGTGTAGCGGCTGTAGCCCTCAAACACCTCGACAAAGAGGAAAGTGAATGTGTAAAATATTTGATGTTGCTCTTTTGATACTGCGCCCTGAGCGATAGTGTGATCCATCGCAATATTTAATTTTCTTCCACACCTCGAAGACATGGGTGTAGGCATCAACAACAACAACAAAAATAGGCCAGGTACGGTATAAAGCTGATGTTTTTGTATCGGTACTGTACACTGGCAGTTTGTAATGTTGATATATCACTTTCAATGTAATATCACCATATCAGACTGTAAGTAGTGATTAATTTCAGAGTTAGAATGTAAACACATGGAACCGATGATGCTCCCAAAAGACCTTGTAAGCAGATCCAGAGCAAAAGGAAAGTGAAAGAAAAGGCAGAATAGGAGGGGGGAAAAGTCCAAGACAAAAATTCGTGGTTCGGTTGAAGATGAGAGAAGAGGGGTGGGAAAAGGCTTCAAGGACGCAGAGGAAAAGAGGCCTCTTACCTTCACTGGTCAATCTCTGACCATTCATCTCTGCATTTGGACCATCGGCCTGAATCGCCTCATGAGCAGAACTCTTTTCTTCTGCGCTTTTCTTTAAGTGTAGCCCGGTTAGAAAGGACTTGACATTGAAGATTCTGCTATGGTGGCGCACTTTGGCAGGGGTGCCCCGCGGTGGAGGGCGGCAGCGCGCGCCAGAGCATTTGGAACAGTTTTCGTAAATGACATCAGTCGCCGGTGCACGGGAGCCAAATGGCGGTGGGGGTTTGAGGTGTGACGCAGGACTCATTGCTTCGTACAAGTCATGGCGGTTGATTTTTGATTCCTTGGGCACTCTTGGATAATGCAGGATCTCAGCTAAAACGCTTGCAAGTGTCACCCGTCCTCTTTTGGGAAGTGGTAAACCCTCACTTGTCCTGTCTAAACTGCGAACTGGGACAGCAATGCCGGCATTGCTTCTGCATGGTAATCTGTCAATACTTTGATCTGCTGGATGGGAAATATCACTCAGGGCAAGCAGAAACATGTTCTCATCACGAATGCCTCTTATAATCATGCAGGTGTTCATCCATGCAACACAAAACATATGAGACAGTGTGCAAAAGTAGCAGTGCAGTGAAGCCCTGCATATTTGTGGTTGGGTACTCACAAACTCACCAGTTTGCTCTTTTTATATGCCATTTGGTGGCATCTTGGTGTCAAAGAAGTGAGTTGGGGAGTTTCACTCAGACATAAGTGCTGCTTTGCCATCATCTCGTGGCATATATAGGCAATTACAAACCATCAGGGTTGGTCATTAACAACTTGCGGATTTTCCCTATGCGCCACAGCGAGTACCCATTCCAGCAAATAGTGAGGCTCCACTGTTTATCACGTGATTGCACCTACCTGGTAATGCAGGTATCGCTACACCACTTGCAGGGTTGAAGGGCATCCCCTGTTAAATGATTTGAAACATTAGGATTTACAACAATCACGTTGTGAATAAAATGTTGTCGACTGGGTAAAAACACATCACAATGGCATATCCATCTTCTGTGGACTCAAAAATAGTCTTTGCACTAAATATGGCATGGTGTACAGAAACACCATGAGGAAAAAAACAAGACAGCCTCACCTGAAGTCCACCGCATACTGAGCAGATGGTCATGATGGTTTTAATTGTGCAAGGCTCCGCGCTGCCACTAGAGGCTGCCCCCCTTGTTTTCCTGCTGTGTGAGCTCACTGTTTTGAGGTGGCCCTCAGAGTCCCCCTTTAAATACTCTGGTACAGGATCAGGAGAGTCCTTAGCTGACCTTGGGCACTCCTGTGCCAGACTCCTGGGAGTGTCGTATAGATACCTGAGTGAGGTTGGTACTTTGTAATCATGTCCTGAAACATTGGGGCAAGAACAAGGGCTGAGATCTTGAGCCAAGTGCGGAGGCAGACAAAAAACAGACCCAAAGTCCTCACGACCGCTATTGTCCAAACTTCCTGTGTATGAGGAGAAACTTCCAGAGTAAGAGGAATGACTACCGGTGGCAATACCGCTGTCTAAGGAGCTCTGGCGACCCATTTCCTTTAGGTGCCTGGGGTCTTTGACTCCTGAAGCATTTCCGCCGTGATTGGCGAATTGCTTTTCCACGCCCGCTCCTGTTTTGCCGACAACATTGTTGTCTGAGAGGTTACTACTGGATTCGGTCCAAATGGCCAAACAACTGGAAACGCTGCCGTCCGATTGGCTGGTGTCTGACGTGTCCGAAGAGCCGGATATACTGCGGTCGTCGCCTCCAGGGGATGCACAGTACATGGACGATGCTGCAAATAAGACATGTTTAAGGATCTTTAATCAGGAGCTCATACATAATGCAGCATCGGCTGCAAGCCGGGTAATAACAACAAGAAAGTGAGTGAAGTGAGACCGGCAGACTTAATTTTTATCGTGATGGACTGTTCAACAGTAAAATCACTGTGGGTAGTACAAACAATGGAAATTCAAGGCAATAGCAGAGATGGACGCCGAATTTTTTTGGACAGAGGACGAGAAGTTTTTTTTAAAAAGGACGGATTAAGCAAGGACGGAAGTGGGTTTTTGTCCGTCTCTTTAATCGTCCCTAACCGACTTAAGTCTGTTGTCGGGAGGCAAAATGACAAAGCCAGAGTGTAGCCGAACACTGTATTTTCTTAACAGGTTATTTCATCTCAACACTATATTTATACCAACACCGCCACCTAGTGTATAGTCATACAACATAAAGTGCCTACGGCCACTCATTTCATGATCAATCCAGCCGGTTAAGAAAGCTGGTCTGTTGTATGTGAAGCGCTTTAAAAGGATGAGGACGGATGGAGTCGGAGGACAATTATTATATGAATAAGGACGGAGGAACAATGACAAAAAGGTACCCAGGTCGCGGATGGAGGACGGTCCAGCAAAATAGGGTAAAGTGCCCATCTCACGGAAATAGTAATATGTACCTGTGCTGTTCCGATTGGAGAGCATACTCAGTCGCTTCTCAAGTTCCTGTGTCTCATGATTCAGCCTCTCCTCAGAGTTGATCTGACTGGTGTTTGGATCTGTCAAAGAGAATGATGACAAGATGTCAGCTGGGAGGCTACATTCTTGTTCATGGAGAATGACATTCATGTTCAACGAACCAGGCTATATCATTTGCATTCTGGAGTTGGAGTAATGCTACTGTCCAGTATTACATAAAAGTGTGCAGCTGACGACAATTCATACATCCATCCGTTTTCTTTCGCTTATCCAAGGTCTGGTTGCAGGGACAGTATCTTCAGCAGGGAAGTCGAGACTTCCCTCTCCTCAGCCACTTTGTCCAGCTCTTCTGGCGAGACTCTAAAGTGAAATTGAGTCCACCGCCTCTTGAGAGGACTCGTAGCAAAGCCCAAGCTGTGTGTTAAAGGAAGCCCGGATATTGGAATTTCAACCTCACCCACCAGCTCAAGCTACTTAACTGCCAGGAAAGTGACGTTTCACATCCATAGAGCCAGCTTCTGTAACCCGGGATGGGACCACCAAGGTCCCGCCCGCCTTCGGCTGCTGTCCACTTCGCACTGCACCTGACCAATTTAGCCCCTCCCACAGACAGAAAGCCCATGCAAAGGGGGACCCATGATCCCTCTTGGGGCTGTGCCAGACCGTGTACCATGGGTGCAAGCATGGGTGCTAACTCCAGCCTTCCAGAGGGCATATCTAGATGTTTTATCTTCACCTGAATGCTCAGGATCGTCCTGCTCATGACCAAATACATTTGAGGTCACCTTGTGGATTAAATCAAAACCAAAAGTGCTCTATCAGAGAATGCGTTATGTTCCCAGCGTCCAGTCAGAGCTCAAGAGAATGCAAATCCAGCGAGCCTGCTTGAACATATAATCTTTTTAGAACTAGCCCCACGCACTAAGCCCTGACTGATGACCTCCACTGTCATCAATATGCACAAGGTCGATTGAGTTAGCATAAAAACATACCTCGTCTTTGAGGTTTAAGGCTTTGAGGCCACGTGTGCAAGTACTATGTCCTTGGAGAGGGTCACACGGGCCGTTTGTGCAACACAACATGGTTTATTAATAGTGCTGTAAGGGTGTAGCACCACTGTGTGACCGTGTGAACAACTCTTTTATATTCTTTTTAATGCAATATGTCATGCCACTGTAGTGTTTTTTTTTTTTTACTTTTGCAACACATTCAGATGCACATTATCCAGAAGAGAGCTCTTTTATCCCTCCCCCCTACTTGATATTTTGTACAGTGTTTCATCAGTTTCAATAATTTCATGACCTTAATTCTTCTAAAAGGAGAAGTTGTTAACTTACTATTGAAATTATAATTACAAATACATAAAAGGACCAAGTGGGACCCCGCTGCAGTAACAAATACAGCGCCGCTAATAAAGGTGAATGAATAAAATTGTGTAATAATAATAATAAGAAGAAGGTTTGCATTTATTTTGATTTACTTTTACTTTGATAAGGGGACACGCTCTACCCACCCAGTAAACAAAATCACAGAATGTGTCTGATGATACATGGATGCCTCAAGTGATTAGGAGGCTTTGTCTGCTCCGCTCGTGTGAAACCCTCGCTTCTATTTATTCTCCGACGGCAATAGGCTGCATCTAAGTGCACAGATATGGAAAAATGGAAGAATATCCACAAGCCCCCGCAGGTGAGCCAAACACATTTACTGTGATGTTGGCAAGAACATTGGCTGTTAGAAATTGGAGGTGTTAAATGTGGTGTTAAAACAAAAACAAGTTGAGTTGGAAGACTTCAAACTTGCACATTGTTCTGGAATTTCACCAGAGCAGACTGCGACCTGCAATCCACGATAATGTCTTTAGATTTGGTGAAACCACATGTCGCTTTGTGCTTGAGGTTTTCTTTTGTACGCTTTGGTCTTCAGAGTACTAGTAACCAAACAATTGTTTGTCTTGTTCGGTGTAAGCGTAAGAGCAGCAGCCAACAGGGACATTTTTTCTAGAAGACTATTTACTGTAAGTTACAGGAAGTAAGCGTCCTCGCATCAGTTTTATAGCTCATGTTTAAGCCGTCGATCTGATCACGATTCATGTCATCAAAATGTTTAGCAAAGCATCGTTTGCCCATTTTCCTTAAGTTCATATTTAATGAATCACAAGTCGACTAGCATCCTGGAGCGCAAAGTGTGGTACCAACTACCAACCACCAACTGAATTTGCTGCTGTAACAAGTTAGCTAACCTTGAGGTTCAGACAGCAGCGGCTGACTTCAGACGGTGCTTAGGGCAGCCACTCAAAATGCCACTGAAGATTAGCCAATTCCGTGAAGAAGAAAAAAAAGAAAAAGGAGCTGCCAGTCATAATTTAGTGGCATCGAAGCAGTTCCGTCCACTGTGGAATCCATCGGAATCATTTTGCCGTTGCACTCCAGGAAGGGGGGGGGGGCACACTGAGTCGCAGCTCCAGTGTGTGGGATGTGCCTAATGTCTCTGGCGGAGAATCAAACACCTCCAACGACTGACCTGGCAAGATGGGCTGTAGGCCGAAAGGAACCCTGGTCGGGGAGACACCTCGGACGATGCAGTCGAACAAGAAGCTTATCTGCTCGCTCTCAGAAGACGTGAGCAGGAAAACGCCAGCCCCTGTGGAGTGCAAGTGGAATACTGTTCAGGGCAAGAATATATTGGATCAGGTTCTACGGCATTTTGTTCTGTTTACCTATAATATATAACAAATTGCTCAAAATGTGTAATTCATTACACCTATGCAGCGATGATCGCCTCAGTTTTTGTAGGAACGTTTTCTATAATGTGCAGTGCTTCTCTCAGACCTCCTTGTGACAACAAACCTGCTGTCACCCATAAAAGGTCCTTGTCTCAACCCTGTCCCCAAGACCACCCACCTCCTCTCAATTCAAGAATGTGACTATGCTGTGTTCATTGTTATTAATAATATTTTGCATCATTATAAAGCTGAAGTGGTTGGCTCAATGAAATTGTGCCTTTGCTTGTCACCCGAAACTCACATGGCTCAGACAATAAAACGAAGCCAATGAATGACTCATGCCTGAGGGGGTTGTTATTTTTTTTAGGACTGAATCCTTCCCTGTAAAACACCAGATGTTCTCCATTGTCCTTAAACTAGAGTGACTAAATCAACTTCTACAAAGTCGTTCCTACGCCTACATGTGCAATAGACTTACAGTAGCCACAGCGCGTTCCTCCCTCAAATACAAATCCATTTGGTACGGGCCCATATCGGCGCAGATCCGGAAGGTTCCAGTGGCCCACGACAACGGGGGATGCGTCTCTGACGAGAGCTAGCAAGTTGTTGCACACGTGGAGGGTTGCCGGGCCGCTCTCTAACTTTGTTCCCGCCAAGACTCCGACACTGAACCTGTGAACTAGGCCCGACAGAACAACAAAAAAAATGTGCAAAATGACATAAAAATCACAGTCCTGGCTACATCTGGGTCGGAGTTCTGCTCGAATAGTGCATGATTTTTCCGTCAGACTGTTGTGGTTGGACAGACTGTTCGCACTTTTTATGACTTTGATTGCACAATTACTTCAGCATGACATCAACATTTCTTTCCATTAGTCTGCTTGTTGTTGTCACTGTGAATATGCAGAAATGTCAACCTCTTAGATAAAAGCCTTGGTACACCCACAGACGGGCAGGTGACATTTCTACTGGCCATGACGTACTCCTCTCGGTGGCATTAAGCGGTCAACTGCGTGCACAAAAGCCTGGAACATCCCCGAATGTAACCATTAGTACCTACCCGCCTTAACATTCAGCTGGACCGCCGCCACCAGCTGAGCCGGCCATTGCTATTAGTGGCAACTGTGAGTTTCTCGCTTATGTAACATATAGTGTTCCTATATAGCGCACGGGGCCAACGCAGCCTCGAGAACCTGTACCTGCCACATTCTGTATCGTTGACTCCTGAATTGATCTAGAAATGTTTCAAATGATCAGATGCGCTTGTGTTAATGATTTAAAACCTTATTTACCTGCGACTAACCAACTATTACATTCTTGTCATCTTGCAAACCTTATTCAGAAAGGTCTGATCCTACAACTTATCGGCAATTGTGCTCTTGTCAACAGCCAAACATGATCTTGTAAGGTGCGAACGTACGACTGATGAGCAAGTGATGTCTTGGTAACTCTTAAAACCTGATCTACCCGATTGAGACTAATCAACATTTACATCCTTGTCATCTTATCCAGAAAAGTCTGGTCTTCGTCGGGTCCGAGTCTGCAGTTGCACCCGGTGAGCGCATGTGAACTCAACATGATTAAGAAAGGCCTTTATCTGAAAAGGTTCTCACCACAGCACCTCCTCTCACCTTCTCCAAGGCTGTAGCGCAGACGGACTTCCCACGCCTGTAGCGTCTCCTTGCTGTCGAAACCCAGCAGAGCCGCCTGGGTCAGGCACAGAATGGCCAGCGTGAACGACGCACCCTCGCACCACCGTCCGCTTTCCAGGCCGCAGATCTCCTCCAGAGTGACACTGGCCCGCTCCTTGTTCCCGTCGACTTTGTCTGACTTGTCTTTAAAAACCAGCAACACGAGGCAATCTGGAGGCGTCAAAGAGTGAGTATGTGGGGCATGCAGTCGCAATCAATGTCAATTTACAACTAACGCTGACAGCTGCAATAACACGGGCATGAAACAGCGGGCGAGAGCCAAGTGACATTTTTTTCTGGAGAATGAAGTTGCCCAGGATGCGGAAGCAGCACGGACACAATCCAACTAATCGGCTAACAATAAGTGACACTCCAAACTAGAAAGTTTAAATACTAAGAGGGGGTTAAAAAAAAGTATGCATTGTAGTATGGTGACAAAAAAAGTAACATTATGAATTTGATTGGATTTTTATAATAGCATTTCCAAGATAAGTCATCATGCGAAAAAAATTTGAAGCCTGATTTGATGAGAATAATGTAACAAGAGGAAAGAATTTGCTATTTTACGACAATAAAATGTGAGGAAATTCACAAACTGTGATCCTAAAAAGATTTCGAACAACACGTAACACTGTTGCATTCGCAATATTTATTTTATTTTTTACCTGCTACGGGCGACGGCTTGCGAAGAACAATCCACCTAGTTTTCCACTGCCAAAGACAAATCCCCCCCCCAAAAAGATGGCAGGTTTGTTTCATTAAAACTAAACGCCAACATTCACCCCTGCAAAAAAAATCAAATAAAGCTTTACCTTTTTTCCTTCTTTGAGTCTGGCGTATCCCTCCACGACTACCGAATCGGTCATCTTCAGTCATGGTTCCTGACAGCTGCACAGTTGGCTGCCCCAATGAGGTGGGTCACTTTCAAAATAGCTGCAGCGCCCTCGCTCGCTCGCTAAGCCACCCCCCACCCTCACCCCAAAGTCCCCGCCTTTGACAACAACAACAAGACCGGCATGGAAAATGGCGTGACCGACCACCCGAAGAAATGCATACTTTGCATTCCAGTGTGTGGTAAAAGCTTTAGCTCAACTAGCCAAACACTCAGCTCGCTGTGCATAATTAAAAGGTGAAAATGTCACCTGTCACATTTTAAATGTTAAAATACCAGATGGAAGTTTTCATTGAAAGCAAATAATGTAGTTTTATAACAATTGCATAGTCTGAAGATTTTAAAAGACTACTTTTGTATATTTTTATAAAGTTGTGATCTAAGAAAAAAAAGTCATTTTTTTGAGTGATATGGTAAATGTTTACTCGTACTTTGTCAGTCTTTTATTGTTTCACAGTGGGAGAAAGGTCATCAACAATTAACAACCAAACAAAAATATTCCTATTTTTACACTAGTCACGAATCTTCTTTCACGTTTTCTTGGCCTTCCGTCTGATCACAGAATTGATCCAGTCCATGTAGTTGGCAACTTTAGTGTAAACGCCCGGCTTTCCTGAGCGGCCGCAGCCCTCTCCCCAGCTGATGATCCCATACAGGAAGTTGACGTCGTCCTTCGCACAGGCCAGCGGGCCCCCAGAGTCCCCCTGGTGAAAAGTGCACGTGTATAGCTGCGTTATCCAAAGAGAAAATTCTTTTGGCACATTGCTTTGTAATACAAGACACTAATTTTGCCAATTGCTAAGCTAACACTTAAAAAGGAAAAAGTTGTCTCTGTGTGTATTCATTTTGAGGAAAATACATTTATAGTGGTATGGTGTACTCCAACTATTTTTGTTCTGATTCAATAACGCTCTGAAGATACCACAAGACGGCGCCAAATTTTCAAAATTAAATCATCTGCATTTGATTCTTAAGGGTGACCTCGTCAGATGAGTTTCAAATTATATTAAAGTGTTGTGTAATCATAATTTGGGGTGGATTTACAGTTTCACTTATAAAAGGCAATTATTAAAAAATAAAAATCGCTGGAGCATCAATTCCATCTTTGCGACAGAAAACTTTGTAGTATGATCCTCAAATGTGGGAATTTTGGTCAGACTTGAGATCTTAAATTCTCTAGTTTTTTTTTTTTTTTGCCAGCTTTACAGATGTCACCCTCTTACCTGGCAAGCGTCCACACAGCCGTTGAGGCCAGCGCAAATCATATCTGCGGTGACGTGGTTGCCGTACACCCCTGGCCTCTTGCAGGTGTCATGGCGGATCAGTCTCACGCCCGCCTCCTGCAGGCTAGAATAACGATCTGCTTCTGTTAAAAAAAAGAAAACCCACAGCACCACGTCAGGCAACAAATTTGCTTTTGTGGCGCTTGACAAAAAACAAAACAAAACAATAAGGCAACAAAAACGAGGGCTTTGGATGGTCGCATCATTTATTAACAGAGAAACAACAACACGGATCATATGGTGTAGATCAGTCCCCTCTACTCCACAGCATTTGTCTCGGTTTAATGTGTCACTTTTTCATTTTGAACTTCAACTGGGTGTGACAAATAGCTTGAAGCAAGCACACTGGGCCTCTTATTTGGAGAACTGCGCGAGCAATTTAATGAGAACAGGTGTGAAGGAATACCATAAAATTGTGTGCGTTTAAGTTGCGGTGTGTATGTTCAAATATAGTTATAATGTATTCAGAAAGTGTGTTTTAAAAGCTTTTTCTGCTTCAAAATGTGTGTGAGGTTCTTTTAAGGACTAAACCATTTCGAAATATGTTTGGATAATCTCACTCACTCTCATGCATGTGTCCCCAGCCACTGATGGAGCAGCAGTAGTTGTCTGGGAAGGCCACGCCATTTTCGGGAAGGCAAATGGGCCTGATGAACGGCGTCCGCTTCACACAGTGACCATCCTGCTTCTTCAATTTGACGAGAACTGGTCCAAATGGGAGGTCAAGGGAAAAAAAAACGAAACAAACAAATGGTAAACTTTTTGTTTATTTTGTGAGGGGAGGGTGCATGCAGGGATGCAGCTGCTCAGTGACGCACAGCTGTTGACGCACCCATGACGTCACTTAATTTGTGATTCAACAGTGTCCGTGTGTGTGTGTGTGTGTGTGTGTGTGTGTGTGTGTGTGTGTGTGTGTGTGTGTGTGTGTGATTACCAATGTCATGGAGTGTCGGGTTGAACACGGAGAACTGTTTAGGAAAGATGTACTTGTCCACTCCAAATGTGCGCGTGTCGGGACCGCTGACGTTGAAGTGGTGCTGGCCGAGCACCACGCGAAGCTGTGACATCAGGGGGCTAACGTAGTCACCAAAAATCACACAAAACCAACATGGTCAGGGCAGTTCTCTCTATGTTGGAGTGAAGTTGCAAAGGGGTGGGACATTTCTGGAAGGTTTGCTGTAAATTTCCATCGTTCAGATGGGGATCGTTGGAAATATTCCAAAATTTAAAATGATGGGACGCAATGGGAAAATGAGCGCAATTCATTGCAAAACTACCATGTTCACCCGCAAATATCATTATTTCATTTTGTCATAAGCAGACATACACGCAGAAATGAGAGCTCTGCTTGCCCACATGCAAGGGCATTACAGTACCTTAATTGCATTTTCCATTTTCTTTACTTAACTTCACTCAAGCAGCAATGTATCCGACGCTTCCGCGTACCACAAATTTTGGCTCATAACAACCACAAAAAAAAATCGACCCATCGACATTGGTCAGTCAAGGTTGCACGATATTTTTATGAAATCTGGTTGTTTTAGACAGGATTGTGCCAAAATGTTTTTTTCCCCACACATATTTAAATGCGTGTTTCATTTTTTAGTCAGATTTGGCTGCACCAACTCATCAGAGGACAGAAAAATGCATCGTGGGCCATTGGAAGCAAATGTGAAATCTGATTGGTTAAAGAAACACTCAACGTTGGACACTGATTAGGGTTAGTAATGTTAGTAATACTGTAGTTACTGTCACACAGGCCAGCACTCCTACTTCTGACTGCTATGGTTGGATTAGTTTGCCATTACAACACAGAGGCTGAAATCTGATTGGACAACAAAATCTAAAAAGACACATCCCTGACTTCCCACCACTGACTCCGAAGACCCCTTTTCCACCAACATGCCTTCCAGTGGGGAAACTGAATCATTTTGTAGCGGCCAACTTGTTTTGCGAAGGAGCTGGGACATACTTGCGGAAGAAGCAGTGGGCCGCCGAGATGACCCAGCAAGAGGCGATCAAGGTCCCGGCGCAAAAGTCCGACTGGCCGATGTAAATGGCCGCCATCCAAGGGTGGCTCCCCGGCAGAGCCAAGTTTCCTCCCATGATCCTTCCCCTGGCTCCGGGCACTCGCTTTTTGTGCTTTGTCCCGCACACTGGTTTCTTGTCTGCCACAGATTTGTCCGAGTCGCCCAATTCGGGTAGCGTGTTTGTGTTCATCCTACGAGAAGACGCTATGGAAAGAAATGCGTTTGTTATTGTCATTTGTAGTCATTTTTTTGCTAGGATTTACAATAAAGTGTTTTGTGGGGGGGTTCCAATGTTCACATTTTCCTGTGTGTGTGTATACTCACACACTGGCATCTTGCAGGAGGGCACTGCGCAGTACTCCCAGGAGATGGCGCCCTTGCTCAGAGTGTAGCACCACGGCATCTTGTCGCCATCAGGATTCCTGCACATACCGAGGTATGTTCTGATTCTATTTCTACATTTTCCATTAAAACTATTGTTTTTGTTCATGCCAGTCAAATTATCTCTTTGAATTTCTTTTTTTTTCTTTCACTATGGAAAAATGATAAGTAAATGTATTAAAACATTTGACCAACATGGTTTATTACAACCCGTTAAAATTAAAAATCACACATTTTAATATTTTAACCTTTTTGAACATTGGGAAAAAACATGAGTAATTAATGCCTCACCCCCCAAAAAAAAAGTTTCGAATTACCTGTATTAGCACAGTAATTTAAATGACATCCCCAAACTATGGTCAATTGATGATATGAGTTTCAAAAAAAAAATATCAAAAGTCCACTTCAATGAACGACCCAGACTACACTTAGCTCCTTCTTGACACACACAGCTTGTCTCTCAGTCAAGATGTATCACTGAAGCATACTTCCTTGAAACAATTACTATTCAGACAGACAGGGCTTTGCTGGCATCTTGTGCCATCTTGAGGCTTTGCTGGCATCTCGTGCCATCTTGCGCGAAAAACACCAAGAGGTGAAATAGTGAAGAGTAAACCACAAATAGATGCAATAGTACCGCATATCAATTCACTCAACTTTTTCTCGAGCAGCAGTAAGAATCTGTTATATGTGGTAAATTCAATTCCTCTGCTCGGACATTCTGAATCGGATCATGGATGAATAATGATTCATTTCATTTAAAATGTTCTCTTTCTGTGTCACAAGCTTGCTTTTTTTTCTTTGATGCTATGAAAATAGGCAGTCAATTAGCAGGGTGTCACCACATACGCACACAAAATGCACACCTGCAGAAGGCATGCTCCCCGAGGCCCCTGAGGGCCGCCGCAGCCACCGTTCCCACGTGGAGCTCGTTGTACAGCAGGTCTGAGTTCCACGGCAGGCAACGGGCGCCAGACGCCGTCGTGGACACCACGCCTCGGTAGCTCATGCCCCGGCTGTTGTAGCACTCGCTTTCGGGCTCTGGTTGCCAAAAAAAAAGAAAAGGCTTTTCAATATTTTCCCTCCCTCCAATTTGAAATGAGCAAAACATTAAAAACAAGTGCGTCACTTGGTCCAGTTCTCGTCATGCTCCCAAAAATTAGGAAAACTGAAATGGTGGAAAACAGTTGGATTGCCCTTCTTCTCCTCTTCTCAGAAATTGAGCGTCTTTGTTCACATCAGTAATTATCGGGCGCAAAAGCTAGCCAACTAGCTATGCCTGCGCCCAGACAATGCGTGAACCCATCAAAAAGTCCGCCGGCAGACTACTTTCGAGCGCCTCACTGTCAGCATTGAGTGCATGCACGTCACGGATAGCAGGTAAAATAGCAAGAAAGGAAAAAAAGCTAAAAATTAGCCAGCCTGTGGATGTGGGCTTTGACTTAACACCTTTTAGAGCGCCTTGTTGTTGCAGCAATGAAGTTGGGATATATTCAGTATGGTAGAAGGATGCTGGAAATGGAGCCAAAAGAAAGAACGAGGAAGAGTCACTGTCAGATTTGGTTACACTCACTGAAGCTACAGTGCGGTCCGCTGTAGCCGTATCTGCAGTTACACACCTCCTTGCCGGTGGCTGTGATCAACCGGCACGTTCCATCATTCTGACACGGGTTTGAGCGGCACCCTGGATGCATAAAAGTGTGTCATATCAAGCTGTGCATCACTGGTTTGAATCCAATAGACATGTTTCATGGATAATAAAGAATGTGTGCCAATGAATATCATTTTATTACACTGCTCAAAAGCAAATTTTAACCAGAGATGTCTTTATGTGACCAGAAAAACATTTTTGACGCTGATTTTTTAAAAATGTGACTTTATTACATGCACATCAGTTATTTTCTTTGTTTGACTTATAAAAGATTGCACGAGATAGATTTTACCGTATTTATAGCTATGACCGTTCACATAAAAAAATCTGTTGCTGAACCTAACCCTTAATTCATAAGTATGACTTGACTATATATTATATTAGCTCAATTATTATTTTGAAAACCTGATGTGGTTGAGAAAAAACAAATTTGGATTTGGAATCAGCCCCTCCCCCCAAAAATCATCTGGAAAAGTTTACGTGCGACTCTGATTTGAAAATGTTAAAGGCTTGTAAAACTGCACTATCGATGCTAACGTTAGCATTTCAGTGGCATCTTCCGTTAGTGTTAGCATTAAGCTAGTGTGGAGGGGGTGTTCATAAGGCCACATAGTTCACTTGTTTAAAATACACAAAATGTAATTCTCTTTGTTTTCTGTTTGGTTTGATCATTCCAAGGAATGGCCATGAAATATGTCCGTGAGTGCCCGTTCAGTGATGCTTGGAGCTTTAATCAGGGTCCCTTTTCTCCCAGGATAAGATCAGCTTGGCTTGAGGGCGCGTGAAAGCATCGCTACGGTTTTGTTCCTTTCTACTGTAAACACCCATGAACACCCCCGCCTCCCTTACCACCTCCGATGGAAGTGTGGGTGTGTCCCAAAATACCATTTGTTAGTCACCCTGACTCATATAGTATGTCTTTTCTTCCGTTGTGATCAAAGAAAGGGTGTGGGGTAAATTTAAGATCTTGGCCAGGAGCGAAGTATAAGGAATTGATGTGCTATCATATGTGTTGGTAACGAAAGCAAACAAGACAGTCCCGTCGCGTGAGTCTTACGCGTGTAGCGGGCTCGTTGACACTCGATTTTGCCGCCGAGACACGTGCACTGTTCCACGTTGCGGAGATGAATGCGGCCCCAAGACTCTCCTGCGTCATAATGCCGCAGGTGTACAGTTTCGTAGCACTGTTCTAAAAAGAAAACGGATAACAGTGGAGGCAACAAAAGTGAAAGAAACAGAAGAAACCTGACTGTGCAGTTTCTTACAAAGCAGGAATTTAAGGTGTTGTTGACACTTTTTTTTTTTCATTTTGGAATACTTATTTCATATTTAATGCAAAGCTGTGTATTCATAAACTTTCCAAAAAAATTGCCATACAGCGCCAGCAGTTCATTTGCCATTTAAACGGCAATCGGCATTTTGGTTGATCTTCGTTGGTGCACCTTTTGACTGTTTTGCGTGTACGTCGTAAACGTAAGACCGTATCCCCACACGTGGCATACTCACTGCGCTCGCAAAGTCTTCCGGAAAAGCCATCAGGACAGGAGCACTCGAATGTGGTGCTCTTGGGGATGAGCGTGCAGATGCCGCCGTTTTGACACGGCTTCAATCGACACGGGTCGGTGATCCTTCGCGACGTGTGGACAGAGACTGGCGAAAAATAAGCAAAGCGAGGAAGAAAATGTATATTTGTAGACGCTATTCACAGAAAGTTAGTCACTTTTTGCAGTCTCACCGTATCGCGGAGGTTTAAATTGTACAAATCAAATTTTAGGTTGCAGATTTTTTTGCTATTTTGCGACGATCATTTTGCCACTTGTACGAACGTCACTGTTGATTTACGTAGCAAATCTTCAGGCAGCAGGCGGGGTACACCCTGAACTGGTCCCCAGCCAATCGCAGGGCACGTAGATTTGCGCTCACAATCACAACTAGGGGCAATTTAGAGCATTCAGTCAATCTACCATGCATGTTTTTGTCGATCATTTTGGGACCGCACGGCACACTGTGTGACGCCATCGTTTTTAGGAATCGATGACATATACTGCGGTTTGTTTTGATGGACATTGTGACATTGTCTGGGTGAGCTCAAACTTTTGAATCATAGCACAAATACTAATGCTAACCATTGGGATGTCTTCGTTCTGGCGCACAGAAGCCCCACTTTCGGTCCCGGTCGAAATTCGACGTAAGAGAGCACCTGTTGTCAGACAAAAGAAAGCATGCAGCGCTCTTTTAGAAGACTTTCCATCAGACGTTTGTCATTTATAATGAATACAGAGCAGGAAGTGACTGTGCAAGATTACGGCACTCTCCGCTATTTTCTGGTTCTTCCACCTTGAGGACTCACCACGGTCTCGAGGCGATGACGGTGATGCAGTGGTGATGAATTCTTCCGCCCTGGCGAAATGGAAATGCACATTCTTTGCCAAATGTGGTGACAACTGTTAACGGGAGGAAACAAAACTTTCATTTGACTCTCAGCATTCTCACAGTGTGTACATATATTCTGCGTGTGTGTGTGTGTGTGTGTGTGTGTGTGTGTGTGTGTGTGTGTATACATATGTTTGAATGTTTGTCTCACAGCATCCCCATATTATAACAATAATTTGAGTGTGAATGCTCGACTCTCAGCATTCCTGCTATTCATTTGTTTGACAACGGAATCGATTTGAGGTTCTTGAAACTCTTTTCGCATTTCCACAGATGAATTTTCGGACAGTGTCGTGCGAATGCTTGTCTCAGCATTTCTGCAAAATTGTGACAATAGTGCCAACGCTATGACTCTCAGCATCCTCACTCTTTTCCAAAACAGTGGGAATGCTTGCCTCTCTCAGCTTTGAGGTGCAAGGACGCGTTGCGTTACCTTTTTGACTCTTTGCATATGGCTCTTTGAAGATAACGGTCTCACGCGCAAGCTGAAAACAAATTTTAAAGCAAAGTGCACACTTGATCACAGAAACGTTCACGTTTAGTATTTTTTTTAAAATGTGCGTTCTACTTACCCGTCGTGTGCTGAGAACAAATGGAAGAAAAAGTAAGAGCCCGTATGTCATGGTGGAAGTATGCATCGATGCGCTGCGGGAAAGGAACAAAAAAAACAAAACAAAAGCTGCCCTCACGTCATGTGTGGAAGTTTGGAGCGTCTCTCTGAGCTTTTACGCGCGTGTATCCCTGCAAGTATTATCCTGTCCAATGTTGAGTCAAGCCCTTGCGTCATTTGGGCTTGTTCGTCTACGTCCTGGCTTATTCCGCCGCCGCCCTCCGCCCGGTGCTTACCCCACGGACGCCCTGCGCCTTCTGCCTTTCCTCAACGCTCACAAGCTCCCTAGCACGATTGGGGGAGGTGGGGAGGTTGTAGTAGTGGGTGGGGTGGAGGGGGTAGCATGGGTGCTCCCTTGAACTGGAAACGCAGCCTTCCTCAGCTTGTCGACAGTTCTGAAGGAAAGCCATAGCTTGGATGTCTGAGAGGTAAGTTCAAGAATTAAGAATGAAGTGAATGCATTTCACTTTTGTCAGTATGTCTTCCAAAAGTTTCCAGTAAATTACCATGGCTGTAGAAATTTAAAGGGATCATCTGGCCTGGTTGTTACGAACAAGCTCACTTGATGTATTTGTTTTTTTGGAAAATTGTATTATCTTTCACTTTCAATTTCATTTGGGAAAATCAGGAATGAAATTCGGACTATGGGCACGTCCCCCCTCCCCCCTGAGAGGCTTTTCGTTACCCTAATTGTTCCCAAATTATGATATACCAGATTTTAAGTGTTAGCTTCTTACTTTTTTTTTTCCCCCCATTGGCCTCTCCAGTTGGTACCACCCATCGGAAAATCATGCGTCGAACATGGCCGCACTCTGTTATAGAATTGGCCTCCTTGCTGTAGCTTTGGTGCTCCGAATTTTTCACTCGATCCATCCATCCATCCATTTATTTTTCTGCCCCACATATTTTCACTCGGATTGTGTGTGGGCCTACCGGATTTGTCAAAGTCCAACTTTGAAATTTGACCAAGGCATGACAGTTATTGTAAAGTGTCCTTGGGTGTCTTGAAAGGCGCTTATAAATAAAATGTATTATTATTGTTATTATTACTTTAATCGTGGAGCTTGCTTTCCAAATTTGATGCTCTCGAAGCATCCACTTGAAGAGCGCATGGCTCACCGCAATATGGAACATTCAGAAAGCCTACCTGTCGGGATTGTCACTGAGGACTTTATCCCAAATTGACGCTCACTCACAGCGCCACACCACCGCCTTCATTAACTTTTTGCAAGCGGTGGACGGACGCGACCGTACTTGGACTGCATGAGTGACAGCAGGCGTCCGTGACATGAAGCCCCACGTCTGGGGCTGTTAGAAGCTGATTTTGTTCTGCTAACATTGTCTGTCCAGCAACTCAAAGCGAATCACTGCCTTGAGCAGAAGTATTCCTTTTAACATCACTGCAGCGGCTACTGTTAGCCGCGGGGAGACGCACACATGCATGCCTGGCTGCCTCTCCTGAGACTTAACACAGCTTGAGCGTAGCTAATTGTCCCAAAACTAAGACCAGTCGCGAGCAAAATTCATATGCACATTCCACTTCAAGCTGTAAAAGTCCAAAAATGACAGCCAGCAGGTGTGTGGTTGCTGGCGCCCTTCACTGGTGGGGGTCTGAAGCTCGCTTGTATCTCAAATGTTGCTCATCATCAAGATAAAATAGTTGGTCAAATGATTACTCGTAGCTTGAAAAACTGGTTATAAATTATTAGAACCCCACCCCCCCCGCAGACCAACTGGCAGACTTTTACCAAGGGTATAGTTTTTACTTTTTAAAGGAGTCTTTTCCAGAATAAAAGGCAACATATTACAACAATCAAATATTCAACGACTTTATTATCATAATATTATGACTTCAGCTTGTAACAATGTGACTTAATCCTCCCAAGATTGCAACTTTTCACCCTGACAGAATACACTGTTGTTCTTTTAAAGATCACAGCTTTTTTTCCATTAAAAAAAATACAACTATCTTTAGAACTTTACAACTTTATTTTTTTAACACTCTGCCACTATTAGGCAATTAGGGTTACATGTGGTCATTATGTTGGATTGGCATTAAAGATTTCTCCACAGTAGCCCAAAAAGTTGTTTTTGGGGGGGGGGCTTTGTGGACATTCCTGCAGGGACAAGCTGTGTCCCAAAAAAAAAAAAAAAAAAAACCAATCCCATTAGCCAACCTCTAATTTCCACCAGCTGTCAGCATGGCCCGGTCCAGATGCTAACAAGCTCAGCATGTCAAAAGACGACTGCAACACTTAAGCAACGTTCATTACTTGAATAAACAGAGCAGGAGGAAAGTCGTCCCTTTATAAACAACTCAAAAAAAGACTTGACGGTCATCTTTTTTTTTTTTTTTTTTTAATTGACAACTTCAACCACAGAAGCAGAAAGTACAGGAAATATTCAGCCATCAGAATCAATACAGGAAGCACAAAAGAGGAATGAATTTGTTGATCCCCCCCCAAAAAAATTCAATGTTTTTGCTTCAAATAAAACATGTTGAACATTTTTTTGTTCAACATGTTTTATTGGAGTCTCAAATTTATCCTATTAAATGGAATTTAAAATAAATCATCTTTTGCTTGGATTGTTGAGAAAATATCAAATCAAAACAATATTTATTATCAATTATTTTCAAAATCCAAATGAGAAAAATGGTAGGCTTTTAATTAAATCTTTTGAGGGCCATACTAAATTAAAGAAACGAATACAAACACCCACAAAAGAAACAATATGCTATCTTAGAAGTTGTCATTTTTCATTGCTTGTCATCGAAATCTCACGCTATACCAAAAACACAAAATCACACCGACTGAACGTACCAAAACACCAGAATTCCAATTTACAATAACATTTCATTTTCGGGGAGGCCTTGATGTCTTTGTTCATGCAGAGTTGTTTGATCCTTCCCTCGGGGCTTTCAAAGTGCAGCAGTGGATTCAGGGTGGGGGGGATTGTTGGCGGCCTGCTAGACCACGGTGGCCTTGAAGAGGTCCGCCTTGCAGTCTGGCTCGTCCAGGTGAACGGCGCCGTGAGGCATCTGCTGGGCGTTCCTCATTCGGCTCTGGCACTGGCGCAGTTCGGCCACGTAGCCCTGGAAGCTCAGGCTGAGCTCCGACTCGTCCCCGTGGGGGGTGTCGGGCGGCGCTCTCTCCTCCAAGTGCACCCCTTCCACATCCATCACTTCCTGCTCCAAAGCCTCTTTCTCGCCGGGAGCTTTGGTGCCGCCTGGAAATGGAAAAGAAGGAACGCACGCTTAAGATGGCTTGTAAATGTCGACGGGAGCAAAAGAAAGCAAATAAATTGATGTCATTTTTAAAAAAGCTTTATATGCTTAAAAAAGGCTAGCAAATCATCCCAAATAACATACAGATACATACTATACATATTATCTTAAAAAAAAAAAAGCCTACACAAATCAGAAATTCCAACAGAATAAAATGAACTGTAGGTTCCAACCAAAACTCTGGAATTCAGACCACTGCCAGGCACCTGTTTCGCGGCGCTATTTCCAAATGAAGGACGATCCTCAACTCTTCCAAACTTACAACATCATAGCTTGTTATTGAACCTTGCTATTTTTACTTTTGCTCAGAAGAAAACCAAAACTATGGGGGGGAAGGACATTGGCATTCAGACTCCCTTTTGAGCGATTCTTCCTCCCAAAAAAAGTACCAGCCTTGACGTTTCGGTCTGACAACATTAGTTTATGAATTGTTTAACTTTACTATCCTTTTGTACAGTTTGGTAATGGACCAAAACTATCGGGGGAAACAAAACGCGCCTCTAGAGTTGACTACAAATTTCTTGCTGGAATTACTTATCGTTCACGTTTATTTAGCGACCCTGTTTCCAAAAGAGCTTGCCTCAATGTTTCCATCTTACAACATCAGTCAACAAAGTATTGTTTTTAATAGTTTACTACCTGTTGCTCTTACACAATTTAGAAGTCGAGCAAAATTATCAGGGTTAAAGTGTTTCGAAAGGAGGACTAGACTCCAGCTTACATCATCAGTCGTTTTCAAACCTTTGCAATTTTTACTTTTGTTTAGAATTTGAATAAACTTATCGGCGGGGACACTCATCAATCGGAACTTCCGTCATCCACTTTACTTAAGCGAGCCCTATTCCAACAGAAGGACCAGCCTCATGGTTTTGTACTATTTTTACTCTCGACAAGTTCGAAAGTGGATGAAAAATGTGGCGAAAATCTGCTTGACGTGACTTCTGTATCTTCTGACAGCGTTGCGCAATCGTGGCCAGCTGCTGTAGAAGTAATAGTTTCCCCTGGGATTCACTTAACAAACAGTCAGTGATTCAGTGCCGCTTGAGTGCTGATGTAAACACCGGCTCCAAGCTCCAACAGCTGACGTCCTTCAAGGGGAAAAAAAAAAAGATGACACAATGCGGTGGGATTGGTTAACAACCGCACCAGGAAGTGATGTGTTGAAGTTGGTATGTAGCACTGCAATTCTGTCACTTCCCCAAAATTAATGATAGTTTCTCAGTCTGCGCTATGACATAATTGGTTTCTTAAATTTGCTTCTTTTTTTTTTTTTTTTTATTAATGTATATTTGAACCCCTTTCTTGTCTCTTGTGTTTTCGTTCCAGGGTACTTTTGGGCAAATTGTTTTGAGCAATAGTTAGATATTAAATGAATGGGATCAAATGATGCATTCTCAGTAATGCATTTCTTTAATTTCTTCATTCACTGTATGAATTCATTATTCCTTCTGTACTTTCGTGGACGAGCCTAAAAGTGGAACTGGCGTCATGGTGAAAATGTCTGTACGATGTCTCCCTCTCGTGGGCAAAAAAAAAAATGTCTATCACGGCATGCTAAAACCTCAAATGTATTTTGAACGATGATTTGGACCAAAATGGTTTTCTCAACATGTTGTTGTTACTATTTTTATAATTATTGTTTTAAATATAGATATCAATTTTGTTGATATTGTTTCATAAAGGGGAGAAGAATGGCCAGAAATCTGAGGTGACAGTGACACTTTTGGAAGCGGTGGTATGAGGTTATCATGGCGCCCAGTGGCAGCGGGAAGAATCAACGCGCCGACAGCACGGCAGCCGTTTTTTTTTACACACGGTAGTCAGGTCAGAGCAATTGTTGGGGTTGGTGTCTTTTGTGTTTGAATTGATGTCATTTGTGGTTTTGGAGGTGCTTGTTCAAGGACCATAAAAAGTAATGTTGTTGGGATTTTTTTTAATCCGCATCAAAAATATGTTTAGGGACACATAAAGCCGTTTATGATTAAAATGTTTAAAAATAATGTTAGAATGGCTTACAATTATATCAAATATACTTTTTGGGAAATAATACCACTATATTATTTTTGTTGAGCACATTAAGTATACGACACCACTGTATTAAAAAGTTTCTGATGATGGGGGCACTTGGACAGCCAAGTATTTTTGTTGTGGTGACACTTGTTGGTGTAAAAAAATTTGACAACCACTGGCTCATACTAATGCCGAACTAGGACATGCTTTGCGATCCTCTGTTCATTTAGAATGAGAATCAGAGGTCAGCCAAAAATTTGGAGGGCAAATGTGAACAAAAAAACCCGGATTTGCAGATTTACTCTAGCAAATCATGCATGATTTGGAATGTTGGCTTCATTTTATTTCTGTTTTAGAAGTACTCCTCAATGGATGAGTCCTCTGTGTTTTATTTTGCTTTTAAAAACAGTTGACTTCTCTTCTTTTGCTTTGTTTTTCCTCCATTCTGCCTTGTGATGTTCTGCTTTTGAAAACGGTCAACTTATGTTATTCTTTAATTTGCTTTTTCTTTGGCAAAAACTCGAGCCACCATTCAGCCAAATTTTCTGCATGTTATTTCATCACATTGTTGAGTGTTTTGCTTCTTTGGCTTTACTGTGTTCTGTTGTTCTTGTTTTCAGTGGTTTACTTGTTTTAACACATGCATGCCAGTTGAAAATGTTAAAATGTTACTTTTTGGTTTTTACTTTTCATTTCCATTTATTTCCTGTGTGGAAGAATGTTGAATTGGAATCTGAGAGACAAGAAAAGAAAGATGCACGAGTATCGGCTGAAAGTCAAATCCAGCACCACACCATCCCGATCACCCGCTACAATAAACCGCAACTGAAGAAGATGGCATCCAATCGAGCCTTTGCAAACAATCCACAATGCGACACCCCCAAAAAAAGTCACCACCACCTACGCCACAGAGCTTGAAAAAGACGAGCGATAGAAGGCGAGTGAGCACACATCATTACTCACACCCCGGTGCCTTCAAGAAGCGCATGCAGCAACACCAAAAGGAGCAGATAAAGACGACGCCAGCAGGCAAAGAACAGAGAATGCATGCGGAGGCGGATCAAAGAAGAAAAAAAAAACAGTATCACATCCGATTGGAGCTTTTATTCCATGGACTAAATGACAGATACACAATTGATTGGCAGATCCAACAAGAGATACAGAATCACAACCGTCAGCTGCACCATTTCCCCGACACGCTCGTCACGTCACTCCCGACGGCGCTTCCTGACAACATGGAAAATAAATTTGGAAAATAGTGTCCGCTGTGCTATTTTGGAACGTTATCCCGCAGCAGTGTTAGCGATTTCCACAGTGTCTTCTTTTAACAAGAGACTGTGAGCAGCACATCCTCCATATGTGTTGCTCACACGCTGCATTGGGATGGCCTTCCGCTCAAGTCGGTGCACAGTAACGAGCAGTGGTGGGAGGACGTCAAACGTCATATACTTCATATTTGCACGTTAGCCACTTTGCACTTCGTATTTGTTCAGCTTTACCCAAACAAGATGATTTTGGAGATGATCACTGATTTGCAAGTTTATTTTAAAAAAACAAAGTTAAAAAAAAACATTGCACAATCAGATCAGAAGATGAATCAATCTATTGAAACAATTCAACTGCTTATTTGCTAGACTGACCCACAAATAGCCCAAATTTTCGTGTTATTGACGCCCCATGAAATGCATTGGGAAAAGTAACAGAAGCTAAAAATGCTCCCCAAAATGCTGATAAACATTCAATACAGGGAAAACAGGCGATGAAAACCTGACACCTCCCCTTGAAACCTCAAATTATTTAAAATATATTGGGATTAAAATATCCATCCAGCTATCGATGCTGAAAAATCTTGTATTTATGAACAATGGCAGCACAGAGCGTCCCTGGATTGAACAAGATTGTGTCTGCTGTAATATTTTGCAGCTCCAATCAATGACGCTGGAATAATGTTCCCACGAAGATGCGCACAGTGAGCAGTTGCGCATTCTCATGCGCACACGGTGATGCTGATGCGCATCATGCGCACACATTACATTTACACCTGCATTTAATCCAGAAAAAGGACACCACACCATTGCATAAAATGCAAAATATCTGCCGATCCAATCCAGCCAATCAGATACATCTAGTATTTGTACTTGAGTTAGTTAGCTGAAGTAACACATTCACAATCACGTGTATTTTTTTTTAATGGTCTGTGTTGACTCATCACATCTTTTCAATGAAACGCATAACCGGCCTGAACTCAAGTTCATCTTTGACCAGCTTTCGGCGTGCTAAACTGAGACCAAGTTCAATGTCGTCATTGTTGTGTCCCCGCTCTTCAACTTGCAAACCTTGCATTTTGCTGTTCTTTTTCCCAATTTAACCAACATGTCTCTAAAACTCCCTTTGTGATGGCTTCAGCACGTCCTGACAAGTTTGCACACACTACACAAGAAATAACTTTCCAAAAACGAAGCAAATGGCACCTTATCTTAGATGTGCAATTTTAAAATGTAGACAGACAAGAAGTGGCAAGTCGTCGTCGAGTTGAGTTTTTCTGGCTCGTGTCAAGTCATGTGACCTGAGTCCCCCACCTCAACAAATGAAGGGCTTCATTTCAAAGGCCATCCCACCTGAGCTTGTGGCCATTTGTACATCAAGGCTTTTCTGCAGAAGCCTTTTAGTAACTTGTCCGATGAAGCAATTTTTCCGCACCCTACTGGGGCCTAAAACTGCTGCGGGATGACATTCCATAATTGACACAAAATTCCCAACTTATTTTCAAAATTGTACTGCCAACAATCCAAAATCCTGACCAAATATTTACAAGATAATGTCGATCTTAATCAACGGATGAACAAACGGCGCCAATCCAAATAATTAAAGTGCATAAGGGGGTGAAATGATGGAATGGAAACAGGAGCGCTGGTATACTACGCGGTACCTGGAGTGGACTTTGCGTCCGTGTCTTGAGCGTGAGGGCAGGGCGGCGGCGGCGGCGGGGTGAAGTTGGCCTCGGGCAGGCTCCCCTCCAGGGACGGCATGGGTGACGGGGACGCGGGCAGCAGCGTGCTGTTGGGGCTATTGATTTCGCCCTCCCCCACCAGGGTCAAGTCGGCGTGAGCGTCCTCCTCCACGGTGTGGAGGCTCGACCGGGCGTCCGGGGGCCGCGGGATGGGGGACAAGTGGGAGCCGAAGGGCGAGTGGCGAGACGGGGGCATCAGGCACCGCCTGGCCCCGGAGTGTCCAAGGGAGGAGTCCAGACTCTCGGAGCGGAGGCCCGAGGCTAGCGGCCCTCGAACGTGGCCGCCGTTCTCGCGGTTTTGCTTCAGAGAGTCCGGCGTGGAGCACACCTGGTCCGAGGAGGGGCAAGTGGGAAGGGGAACCAAACGCAAGAAATCGGGAAGCACCAAGTCCTCTTTGGTCAGTAGTCCACGCTGGTCGTTGGCCCGGGTGCTCTGTGCCCGGCTCAGCAGCTCGAAGAATTCTACCGGGGAAAAAAAGGACAATTTGCCGTGTGTTACTTGGACAAACTGGCGAGTGGCTTCAAGATGGAGACATTGGCATGCAGATAGGCCAGGAAGCGAACCCAGAGACCAAAGTCAGGCTTTGAAAAGTCACGGGATGTCTGCCATTTTGGTTTCAATCAGCCATTTCAGTCCTTCACGAGCAAACTCCTCTTTGCTGCCAAATACAAGTTCGGTGATCCCCCACCGTGCCATGACAGATCATCTAGTGTGCTGTGGAGTATTTCACTGGAATAGTATGAAAATTATGGTTCATTTACTTAATGCTGTATCTCATCTCTCTATGCCAGTGACTTATGGTTGTGGGCAGAACAATAATGTGCTCTTCCACTAGATGGCAGAATGTGCCATGAACGCATCCCCACCTGAAGCCAGTCCTAAAAGAGTCCTAAAAGAGAACGCTGTGAACCCTGTTTTGATCTGAACCAGTCCGCTGTTATTGTTGCTGAAAGCCATGTCTATAAGAAATATTAGTGGAGGAGTTTCATTTGGTCAGGCCATACGCTTGGGGAATTGGGAAAAAGTGCTTTGCGCCACCTTGTGGCTTCTTTTTGCAAGCTTGACAACCCCATCCATGACGCGAACCATTTATCCTCATGAGGGTCGCGGGCATGGCAGTCTATCTCAACTGTCTTCGGGCAATAGACGTGGTCCACCCTGAACTGGTTGACAGCCAATTGCAGGGCATGCATAGACATACGCCATAAAAAAAACAAAACAAAAACAAACAAAAAAAAAAACTCCTCAATCATGGGCTCCACACGATCTGCCCCCGTTTGACTCACTGATATGAAATTTGGTCATGAGTACTTCCACAAAGCAGAGAGTGCCAGTTTGGTTTGAGGCGGCTATTTCAGAGATGTATTCGGATTGCGACCAAATTCCTACAAAGTTTGCGATCCCTGCTTTCGGGGCAAACGCAACGAAGCAGTGAGAGATGAAACAAGGGAGGTTTACCTTCAGCTTCGTCTATATTAATCTTTTTCTGTTTTCTCTTTTCGCCAGGGAGCGCCAAGTCTGGTCCACCTGCTCGCCCGCCAAACTCCTTTGGCGCTGCTGACCTCTCATCTTCCTGCAGACGCAACAATGATAACGCTGTTAAGGGGGCGGCCCGATCGGACTGCGTCGTCCTTCGCCGGCGTCCGCCACGTTGCAAGGATGCGAGCCGGTCACACGTGAGACGTTTCCGTTCGAGTCCATTCATGCCAAAAGTCAAATGAACGTTTTTGTTTTATTCAACAAATTGGCAACAGATTCCAAAATATAAGCATTGCCATTTTGAGCGTTTCTTTGCAAATCAAGATTTAGTACAGGCAGACCTGTCATGTACATACAGTGAAACTCCTCTAGAACGAAACCTGCATGGGCGAAAATACCCCCTTATGTGAAAAAATCTTCATGCATTAACACAATTCCCATTCTCCTG